ATTTGTATTCGGCAAGATCAGTGTAGCGGAATTATGACATACAATGACAAGTTTGAAAGGATTCCCATTTTTAAAATCACCAGTCATTAGGCTGCCATGTTTCACAATGCAAGGCTAATCATTTACTGTGTAGCAACTGGATTACCAAATTCCAAGGCATACATCTGTGGAATACTGTACCATTAAAAAAAACTTCAATTCCTACAGTGGCCAATTGTGTGAAGCAAGCTCACCAAACGGTTCACATGTGTAGATGCTGGATCATATTTAGAAATAATGTCTACTACATTTTCAACAAAAAATCCTGAAATATTATATATTTTAATAACCGCAAACAAGGGAAGTAACTCTTTGTTCAATATTTAACATATGCATACACAAAATTCAACACGTCCTTGATGTTTTATATTTTGGATATGGTGACTTTTCATATGGGGAAAAATAGAAGCACAATAGTTGGCGCACTGCACTATGAATCTGATTACCTGAGTTTGATTCCCAGCCATGGCTGACATCAGTGGCGTGTGATATCTGAATCGGTCCTGGGACACCTTTCACCAACTCACGCTGGTGAGCACGGTGAGGTAACAGCTAACAAACCCTGATCGTCTGCAAGGCATAGGAAGGCTCTTAACCAATATAACCATGTTTTTATATGAACATGAATTTACATGAATGCACGTTTAGTTGTACAATTCACAAATGCAGAACTTCAAAATTAGATTAACTTGTCCGTGAGATGGTTTCATTTCAATATAAGAAAATATTTGACCATCGATCAGTTTGTATCATAAACTGCCTGAGGATGTAAAAGTGGTATGCCTTCTGCACACATATTTTTGTTATTAATATTTTATTTCCCGTGTGTGTGGGGACAGTTTAGCATAAAACAAACCCATAGTGAATGCTATTAGGTAACTCCAGTGGAATCCACTAACCTATAATGTGTACATTAGCCCATTAAAGCACGCAGCCAAGCAATAGTGCCTACTCATGCAGAGCACACAGAAGCCTCAGAATGTTTCATTACACACAATTGACCCAATTCAACACAAGATGTGAGCCTTAAGCCATGAAAAAGCCCTGAAATGGTGGGCGGGGGATGGGGGGGGGGTGAATACAGTTTTGTTATAAGTAAGCTACAAGAATACACATTTCAGTTTCATTTATTTGGTATAGCCCTGTGAGCCATTCGGCTCTTGAATCGGGTGCAACCGCAACAAACAACAAAACAAAAACACGAACAAGAAAACATTGAGGTGCCTCAACACTGTCTACACAAAAACAAATCTAATTTGTTTAAAAATATAGAAGTAGCTCTTGGCAAAACAAGTAAAAGGTTGCCAGGAGCTATGAAATGAAAAAGCACAGCGGAACATTTATTATTCTCCAGCCAAGGAAGAAATATTGTAGCCGCCTTCTACAACATCGCAGTGCCAGAGCATCTACAGTGAGGGGACAAAGTATTTGATCCCCTGCTGATTTTGTACGTTTGCCCACTGACACATAAATGATCAGTCTATAATTTTAATGGTAGGTTTATTTGAACAGTGAGAGAGACAGAATAACAACAACAAAAATCCAGAAAAACGCATGTCAAAAATGTTATAAATTGATTTGCATTTTAATGAGGGAAATAAGTATTTGACCCCTCTGCAAAAACATGACTTAGTACTTGGTGGCAAAACCCTTGTTGGCAATCACAGAGATCAGACGTTTCTTGTAGTTGGCCACCAGGTTTGCACACATCTCAGGAGGGATTTTGTCCCACTCCTCTTTGCAGATCTTCTCCAAGTCATTAAGGTTTCGAGGCTGACGTTTGGCAACTCGAACCTTCAGCTCCCTCCACGGATTTTCTATGGGATTAAGGTCTGGAGACTGGCTAGGCCACTCCAGGACCTTAATGTGCTTCTTCTTGAGCCACTCCTTTGTTGCCTTGGCCGTGTGTTTTGGGTCATTGTCATGCTGGAATGCCCATCCATGACCTATTTTCAATGCCCTGGCTGAGGGAAGGAGGTTCTTCCCCAAGATTTGACGGTACATGGCCCCGTCCATCGTCCCTTTGATGCGGTGAAATTGTCCTGTCCCCTTAGCAGAAAAACACCCCCAAAGCATAATGTTTCCACCTCCATGTTTGACGGTGGGGATGGTGTTCTTGGGGTCATAGGCAGCATTCCTCCTCCTCCAAACACGGCGAGTTGAGTTGATGCCAAAGAGCTCCATTTTGGTCTCATCTGACCACAACACTTTCACCCAGTTGTCCTCTGAATCATTCAGATATTCATTGGCAAACTGCAGACGGGCATGTATATGTGCTTTCCTGAGCAGGGGAACCTTGCGGGCGCTAGAGGATTTCAGTCCTTCACGGCGTAGTGTGTTGCCAATTGTTTTCTTGGTGACTGTGGTCCCAGCTGCCTTGAGATCATCGACAAGATCCTCCCGTGTAGTTCTGGGCTGATTCCTCACCGTTCTCATGATCATTGCAACTCCACGAGGTGAGATCTTGCATGGAGCCCAGGCCGAGGGAGATTGACTGTTCTTTTGTGTTTCTTCCATTTGCGAATAATCGCTCCAACTGTTATCACCTTCTCACCAAGCTGCTTGGAAATTGTCTTCTAGTCCATTCCAGCCTTGTGTAGGTCTACAATCTTGTCCCTGACATCCTTGGAGAGCTCTTTGGTCTTGGCCATGGTGGATAGTTTGGAATCTGATTGATTGACTGTGTTTTTTATACAGGTAACGAGCTGAGATTAGGAACACACTCTTAAAGGGAGTGTTCCTAATCTCAGCTTGTTACCTATATAAAAGACACCTGGGAGCCAGAAATCCTTCTGATTGAGAGGGGGTCAAATACTTATTTCCCTCATTAGAATGCAAATCAATTTATAACATTTTTGACATGCGTTTTTCTGGATTTTCTTGTTGTTATTCTGTCTCTCACTTTTCAAATAAACCTACATTAAAATTATAGACTGATCATTTCTTTGTCAGTGGACAAACGTACAAAATCAGCAGGGGATCAAATACTTTTTTCCCTCACTGTATGAAAAGAGGAGGCAGTTTATGGATATATTCCCACAATAGCTTTTGCTGTACCATACACAGGAATAAATAGTATTTTTTAATTGTACGCTTTTTGGCGTCATCTGGTCCAACACCAGTGGAGACTAGGCTCTAAGAAAAGCCGTCTCGGGTGTGGACCAATCAAATTCAAGGAAAGTGCATATTATTAATGGAGTTGTCTCTTTTGTTTGCATTTTGACTGCTTGTGTTGTGGTTATTGCAAACATGATGCCTTTAATAAAGGTGTCAGTTTTTGTGCCAGTTAAAAGGGTAAACCCTATTACTACAGTATTATTTTAAGTAAAATTTAGAAGTCTTTTACCTCTGGATGCCAAAATGCGATTGTGTAAATTCAAGCTTCTGAGTTTTTCAAGGTCATCTGCTTTTGCCCCTTTCCTGCCATAGGAGGAGGAGGTTTTTTTGTGTAGTTGTGCGACCTCTTACATCAGCTTTGGCTATTGACTCAATATCTTTAAATACACTGCTGTCAGTCGCCTTTTCCTGTTGCAGGAGGCGTAACGAAAAAAACACCTTCATCATTTCCTATGAAAAAGCAAAAAACTGTGTTCAAATTCCATTAACCAAATGTACAATTACAGAAAACTTGTGAGCAGCTAACTTTACTCTAATTCACCACCACATGCTGAATTTCCTTAGTCAACGTGTTTCCGAATTAAACTTAATTCATATTCTTACACTCACTATTATAGTTTGAGACAGTCCGGCTGAAATATAATTTACGAAAAGGAAAATAATTTCAATGCTGTCAATGTGTAATTCTGATAAATGGTTGGCCAACAGGTCCAATATTTTCGCTGGGGGCTAAACAGAGCATTATGAAACAGTACTAATGTATCTGACATGCATGCATTTAACGTATTGTGTGAGCATTGGTGAAGTCGTATTTGTGGAGCACCATGTTAGCATTGCAGTCTTCTGAGAAATCAGACATGTTACATTGGTAGACATCACTTGATATGGAGCACACAAAAATGAGAATTTACTTGATCCTTGTGACATTAACTGATGCGTGTTTCAACAAACTTACTTCATTTGGATCTACTTTGGGGGTCCAAATGTTGAATGAATGATTTAATATGTCAATGGCAACATATTTTAGAATACAAATGTGAACGTGTGGATTTTTTTGAAAGACTATTTAAAAAACTGTACCAAGTGATTACCTTACTCAGGTCGTGCTATTACCTATACACAAACACATATTTATGTAAACGATGTGGTCTATAAACCTTTGCTCAATTTCATACGGATGATAAGTCTTTGAATACTGTAACATTTCATTTTCAGTTATTTTGTTGCTGCAATTCAGGTGTTAGGAATCTGTGACATAAATCCAAAAGCAATAATTTTAACTGTCTATATATCGTATGATACATGTCAATCAATTAAAAATTGTCCAGATGCTAAAAAGTTGAGGTACTCTTGGATTGGTTCAGCAAATCTAATTGTACGTCACTTTTTTAAAGATTATCCAAAGCTTACAATCTATCAATATGACACCTGCTGTGATTAACCTTTACTACAGTTCCCATTATTAGATCTCCCCTGTCCTTTTTTGAGTATTTTTATTTCTGTATTCTGACTTCTGGCCACAGCGTGGTCAATCTGTGAGAGACAAATATTGGCAAAAAAAGGAAACCCAACAAATCGATACACCTACAGCTTCAGTTGTCCAAAAATCTATATAACACGCGTTGATTATCTTCAGAAAAACTGATGTCGCAATCACATCAAATAAACCTTTATTTCATTGTGTCTTATATGACAATGGAAAAATGACATTCCATCAATCTGTGCACATGTTGTTACTAAATGTGTGGGATTTTTTTAAATACAATTCACACTTCGTCCATACCACTTGCAATGCATTCGACTTGGTCATTATGCAAACAGAAAACCATTGTGTATGAGAGCTCTGAGATTCACATATTTATTCGGCACATCCCAACATTCAAAATACCACCACGACATAGCCTTCCATACTTCAAACACTAAAGTTGACCCATTCATTGCTTCATAACCAACAGGGTGCATCACCAATAGACAACTTCACGTCTATCCACCTTTGGGATTATTAGCTACTAATTTCTATGTATGCCAGTCAATTTGTCATAATTTTGTAATTACCATGAAACACATTATTAGGAATATAGCCAATGGCATTTTGGATGGCTCTGAATGTGATCAATAACAAAAATATAATTATTTTATTGTCTTTGTATTAGAATATAATGTTTTCGTCTTCACGAGTATTGGAGGTTGCTTTAGCACCCGTGACTGGTGTCATACAAAACATGCAACACTTTTCTCCGCGTGTGTAACTTATGTCTGCAGTATTTGCATGCCCTCTGTCCATAACGATGTCATGCAGCAGAACAGACCACATGGACAATTAGTAAAGCAGCAGATTTGAATGTATTTTACATCAAGTTATTAATATACTTAAGCAACAATAGTCGCAATGTATAAATATCCACTTATACACTTGTTCTAAAGAAGATACTGATTGTGGAAATTGATGTTTGTGTAAGCGTGGTTTGCTATTTATATCGGAAGCTAATCGCTGTATGTTTGTTCTGAGACCTCCTTCTAGACCACTCCACCGAATTCAACGGGTGAGGTGCCAATCAAATGCTCATGATACGTAGTTTATGTGAACAAGGTTGAAATTGCCCTAGGAAATAACCTTTTAATCCATAATACATGGCTTATCAACCTCGGTGCTGCTTATCCTCTTTACCATTTACAATTACATGCCACTAACGTGAGTGATCCCTGTTCAAAAGCATACAACAGGATAGGCGCGTGCCATTAAGGAGGGTTGTGTGAGGAGGTGGGGAGACTGGGAGGAGGTAGGGTGAGGTGGGGGGAAGGGATCAAAACTGTACAAACAAGACTAAACAAGAAAATACAATCCAGATAGCAAAAACTAGACGAAACATGTATTTATTTTAATCGATTAATGGTCTCGAATCATGCGAGTCCATCGGATTGCCGCAGTGGCTGAAGCGTTACATGCCTAATTAGCTCTACCTAACATAGGAAATGAGAATAAAATGCCGAAGGCGAGACCATTCCTGGAATTTACCAATACCCCTTGACGTCAGCGTCTTTTTTTCCGAATACATCACACACGATAGTGTCCATGTGAAATCTAGCATCTCTGTTTATACAGGACATATATATTTTTAAAAATTCGAGTATACTCACTCACATCATGCATTTATTAAGACTTTAATATTTACTTGTAAGTCCTAATCATCAATAGAGAATAAATAGCAGGCATGAGTGATATCGTGAATTTTGTATTAAATATTGAACCGCAGGGTCCCAATGGTTAACGTGTAATGAACCCTACCCAAGTTCAATCCCTGACCACAGCTCACATCAGCGACGAGGTGATGTTCCGCACGGCGTGAATTCACGCATACTTTCGGCTACACACAATGTTGTCTCAGGCGTGAGACAACATTGTGTGTCGTGTATGCGCTACTCGGCAGGCAGTTCTCTCGTTCGGTTTTGTTATGTGCGTCATTTTATTTTTGGCAAAGCATCTGCTACCGCATGAAGCGAGGGAAACCTTTATACGATTAGTATTTATTATGGAATTTTACTGTTTTACTATAAGTGTAAACTTCACAAAACATTGTTAGACTGGGGTGTTTGTGAAAAGGACAAGAGTTTTAACTCCTTAAATATAATTGTAGATATGTCTCTGTAATATATTATGTATGTATTATGGATAGGTTTCGCATTTAATTTACCTGAAATCAATTTGTGGTTATTTTGGGCCCAATTTAAAATCTTTCTTTGATTGTTCAATGAAAGTACATTTTCACAATAATCAATGTTTATCCCATAACATACTAACATTTTAAGAATGTATTTTTATCTTTAAAAATGTTTGTATTTGAATCATGAAGATTTTTTTTAATGTTGTGTAAATAGCATTATTTTTTTATTTTCCCAACGATGTATGTGTTTTCTTTCACGTACACTTGCAACTGATTGCTCTGCTTTGCAGATACATTTATATATTATTTTAAAAATTGTATGTGATGTGTTCTATGAGCCTTCTGTGTGCTGATTGTACCGTGTTTGATGAACAACCTTGCCGTTCAGAACTTGACCATGAACGGTTGCTTTTTGGATTGTTTTGTTCAGGTTTTTGTTGTTGCTGTAATCAGGTTTATACGGTGTAACCATCTAAAGTGAGCATTTATTTTACCAATGGGTTTTACTTGTGCCAAAATACAACCTAAATTCATAATAATGAATGCCCTTCACCGAAGAAAGCCAGACTCGGCCTGTACAGTCGTTTTCAGGAGAGTCCCTGCATAAAGATGTTTGTCAAATTCCTTTTTCAAGTAAGAAGTGTTGTTTTTTTCTTCTGTAGAACATCCGCTCATACAAGGAGATAATGAATCCACGTGCCGCACTGGTATCTCTTGGCCACCAACTCACAGAACAGCAGGTTTCTGGGAGTTTCACAAATATCTACACGAATGCACCAACCCATGCCTCCAAAGTGCTGCACTACAGGCGGTGCATTAACCAAGGCCAGCTGGACAGCGGCTGCAGGCGGTGGCATGAAGCGATCTTGTGCACAAGTTCACTCACAACACCTCAGTTACTCTGACTCATTCGCTCACGCACAACGAAAAACACCTCGAACGCACTCTCTCACACATTCACACATGCCTCGGTCACTTTCACAGGCTCATTCACTCCCATGCACTCTCAAACACACACTAACACGTCTTCCACGTTTTAGCAAAATTGACATCACAATAACATCACTTCTCTCCTCAACACACACTTATAAGTTATGCCCCAAACTGTTATTATTCACGTTTTCAGATCGATGGAAAACACAAGCTAAAATTCGAACAATCGAAAATTATTTATCAGATTTTTTTGCGTGTATGTATCCAAAAACTGGGAACACATCTCCTGTACATGTGTATTGTACAGTCTTGCTGCAGTATACGTTATATGGGAATTCATAATGCAGCTTGATGTAGAATGTATGCAGCCAACAATTGATTTAAAAAAAACAAAGTCGAGTAATTTACTGATCTGAAAGTTTGGATTTTACTGTGGCGATTTTAAACAACACTGCATGCTTACAGGATTTATGTGTGGTTTGTACACACTGTAAAAAGCAAAAATCAAACAAATACAGTACTGTATTGTACAACTGTTCACCACCTCTGCTCCCCTTTTGCTCTTTCATTTCGTGGCAGTGAACAAGAGTTGAGCCACCGAACATAATCATCATGCATCTACATTCATTTTCACCTCGATTACGATTTTGGCAAGAAATTATTCGGTCAAATGTATATATTTTTTTCCCAACAGGGTTTTCCCAGTGCTCAATTTACAATGTATTCCTTCACACGGTAAAAACATGCCCATGATATTTACCAAAGATCAGTTACAGTACGGTACTACCTTTTCTCAGCTTACAAAATTTAAGACACTTATACAGTAAATAAATCACATCAAAGAGGAGGGGAAAATGGAGAAAATGGGGTTTCAAAAGCAAAGGTCTCCTCCACATGACCCACTCAGTGCACAATTTTCCAGTCCTCATTCCTGCCCTGCTTTCATCACAAGCAACGTTTACAAACCTCAAATTAAAACGTTAACCTACAAAATGACGACGAATTGACCACACTTTCTAAGGCAAGTTCTACAAGTTTGACAGGGGTATACGCAAGGACTGGTGTTTGCAATCACTGCCTGCAGGGTTGTTGGGCTGCTGTGATAACTTTGATAACACACAAAAATCAATGTCCACTAATCACCCGGTTCAAATGTTTAGCAGTCCATTGTGATCCGTGGTGTGGAGGAGTAAGCCAGGATACACTACAGGTGCTCTACAGATGTGTTCTTAGTGAAGGCCCTCTCACCAGCAGTTGGCGTGAGAAAGACATTTCGTAACTGCACCTTTACATTTTCATCGTGGTAAACACGTCATCATTTGCCACGTGCACTATAAAATGGCCTAAGGTGATTCGACAAATGGGTGTACATTAAATCTGCCATACAGGGATTCCGTCAAAAAGAACACGACAAAACAAACTGTTTATCCTGTTATGAGATTTAAAAATATATACAGCCTCCAGCTTATGGAAAGCAAACCCCCCAATTCGCTTACTATCCACGAATACTTTATTTGCAATGGTGCTGGTTAACATTTAATGGTGTCAAAATAAGAAATTCATGATTAAAATATCGTTTTATTGATTACGCATGCGTCAGTCATTTTAATTAAACATAAAATAACAATTGTGTTAAGTCTGACATTGTTAGAGCTGCTCTTACCATATATATGTACCAAATCATTCTTGTAAACATACTACAATAAAATTCACCATAACTGGCATGTAATTGTAAAAAAAACGCCATTACTGAGGGCTGTCTTGGTAACTAATATATCCAAGATATGTGCATGCAAAGGATTGCAGCTACAGTACAATACAATGTTAGATATCGGCTTGGCTGTTTGTGTTCTGCCTGTTGACTAATGCTCATCAAACACTCACAAGCTTCAAAATTGCTGAGGGTTATATGCAAGTGTCTCCTATGGGCCTATGACCAAATCACCACAAATGCACCCAATCTCAGCTGATCCTGGAAGCTAAGCAGATTTTGGTCTGGATAGTGATTGCACAGGTGACCACTATGCACAAAGGAAAGTCATATTCTTGATTCTTTCGGTAAAGTCACTTAGAAGGGAAATAATATAAAAATAAAACAATAAAATTCTCACGACGTTTCGATTGCAACACAAGCAATCATCATCAGGTGTGAAAATCACAGCGAGAAAATGTGCCATTACCGAGGGCATGAAATGAAATTATTATTTTATTATTTCCCTTCTACGTGGTGACTTTACCGAAAGAACCCAAGCATATGAATCCCTGCAATCACGAAAGCTTTAAATCGAAAAAGACAGTCAGTTGTAGGGAGGCGTTGTGGACAGAAGAGAGCAGTGCAGGAAAATCCACGGTTATGTTTAACCTCCCACCACGCTACCTTCACCAAACCCGCACTGACCAGCGTGGTGAAGTATGGTCATATTACAGTCTACAAAGGTGTGGGATGCCCTCATTCAGCAGTGGATTGACAAAATGTGCAATGAATGTTTGCTGGGGCCGCAATACTCTCATCATGGAGCATAAACTATCATGCGAACTCCGCTCATCCTAGCGGCGGCTTTTGGCTCGCATCGCACACTTTCAGATGCGCTTCTGCGGCCGTCTGGAACGCGCTTCCTTCCGATATTAGGAAGCTAATGGAGCAATGCACTTTTAAACCTATATTGAAAACGCATTTCTTTAGAACGGCTTTTGTGTTTAGTTTGTTGTCCTTCCCCGCACCTCCGATTAACACAGTTGGTTACGTTTTTTACCGTAAAGGTGTGAAAAAAGTTCAACATACATACAACCAATGCGGTTTAATCTTCCCTGATTTTTCTGCGATTTGCTTGTGTTGGTCAAACACCCCTGTGGACTCTCATCAGAAGAAACCCTTGAGCCAATTGTTCAATGGCCTGTTGTACATTTTTCGTACTACCATACATACAACCAATGCGGTTTAATCTTCCCTGATTTTTCTGCGATTTGCTTGTGTTGGTCAAACACCCCTGTGGACTCTCATCCGAAGAAACCCTTGAGCCAATTGTTCAATGGCCTGTTGTACATTTTTCGTACCACCAAATGCACAATCCAGTTTCTATACACAATGCAGAACACAACAGCATTATGTAGATATCAAAGACGTGAAAATTATATAAACGTCGATAAGTTTAAATGTTTTATACAACATTTGTAATACATGAAGTGCTGTTGAAGATTGACTTCCAACAAATAACACGTGTCAATGCTGTCAAATTACAACCACGACCAAACAAATGTTGATGCAAGTTAAATTACCTTATATACTCTTTGTTATTAAGTGTCACACGTTGAAGGCATGCACTCAACTAAATAAGTACAATCAACATATAAAAACTCTCATAAAGGTATGATCTAGCTTTCGTCAATCATTATTTACAATTAGTATATAAAACAATATTCTGTATATAGTTTATAGAACATATCTATATAGGCGCCTTCAGTATCTGATGGCGCTAATAAAGGCAGTGCTACACATAAGATATTCCATAACAAAAAACTCCACAATATAGACTCGTTACGTGATGATGATGATGATGACGATGATAATATTAATTGTGTTCAATGCAAAACATCCACAATGCCAGCAGGTCAAAATAATCACCACCATAGTGACATAAATGTAATTATACTGTGGCTTAACAAGTCCTAACCTCTAAAGCCGAAAAAACCCCAGCAATATATATGTTACGTATTAATATAGTGAATGTCATTTGCATCGATTTGACATGAAAGCATTTGTCGTAGAATACAACTCAAATAATTACCCAGTAAACATGCCACCTTGGGCCAAAGTTTGTACGTGGTTGCAAACGTTGGCCCAACGTTTGGTCCAACGTTCCGTGTTCAGTGGGTTATAGTAGCTATTGAAATGGATCGTACGCAATAGACGCTGAATATTTGTAAAGGGCTGGTTGGTCAAATCTGTAGCTTCTTTTACCTCCTCACTGTAGCCTTTATCGTCAACCGAATCTGGCAAAAAAAATACGTGGGATATAACATTTACCCGAAGCTAATTCATGATGGATGTGAAATCGCATTCAGTTTTAAATGCACGTCGGCTAAGTGTACCCCAACAATGACCGAACAAGGCCCTCGATTAAAGGTTTTACCAAGTGGTCACACAAAACATAAGGGCTACTGCACGCGTGGGTCTCATTGTGTTGAATGCGTAAACGTTTTGCTTCATCCGATGGGGTTCATGACACCCAAACAAATGTCATCGAACACTGTGTTAAACATAACATCGATCGTCCGGTGGCCACATCCCAGAGCTTGGATTTTAAAAAATAAAGACAGAAACGTGTCTGCCAGAACAATTGAACCGGCCTCCTCCTCTCCAGCTCAGACATTCGCATGGCTCACTCAGACAGCCACACATACACACACCTTGGTCAAATATAAAACAAAGATCATTTTTGCCCACGTCACCAAGCTGGCTGCATGTATAAAGATGAACGAATGTTTGGTGGGCACATATACCGTGTTGTTTGGGGGGTATACAGGCACTGCAATGTAACCTGAACAGTGGTGTCTCCCCAGCTGAATGTTGAGTCTTACCTTCTCAGCATCAACATGGAGCCAAGTCCTTTCTCTTCCCTCTCCTTTGATCCATTGTGCATCGCTCATTGCCAATGAGTCAAAACACTGCACTTAAATACAGTATCCCAAGTCGTATATGAACAGTGGGACGTTTCATATCTTTTTTTAAAAATATATAGATATCTTTATAGTTTTCATTCAGTTCCCCAAAGAACGTTAGTCTTGTTTTCTTTCTCGCTTGTGATTGTTGGCTGATTGGTTCACAGGTGACATGAATCAAATATCACCACCGATTCGTTTCATGCTAACTTCTAACAATGAAAAAATCACTCAGTAGCATTCTCTGGTAAGTGCGTTATTAATGCACACACGTGGCTATTTTGATTCTTGCAATTGATTTGTTTACTAATATGCAGAAAACTACTTTTGTAAAACCAAAAGACTTCATCACAGCTAAAACGTGGTCCTGCCAGTGGCGACGAGATGCTAAAATCTGTGTAACTTTGACCAAAATAATGCTGCGAATCAGCCAAAAGTCTGTATATGGCACATATATAATTACCTGCTTTAAGCAAAAATGTAGCAACCATCCACCCCATTTCACAGCTTCAAAAGAGCCTCTTGCATTCATCCATACGTCCATGGACTCCACACGTTCACGTCTTGAAGGACGTGCGTAGCCCTACCAGCCCACACACAGCCTTAATGGCACTTCCAATGAATTTAGTATGTGCGCTCACAGCACATTAAGGACAGAAATCCGCTCCACGAGAGATGGCCTCTTCACCTTATACATTCATCCTCCTCTCCGAGTTCATCTTGCGCAGCTTGGCTGGAAGGTTGTCCACCGTCCTTGTCCCAAACGTGCTGTTAATCCTCTGCAGCTTGGGTGGCAGCTCCGCAATGGACTTGGCTGAGTCCACGCCAGATCGAATCGCCTTGAAGGTTGTCCTCTGCTCCGTGTCCACCAGCTGGTCACCGTGGCTGCCGGGCACCGAGCTTATCCGCTGCAGCTTGAGGGGCAGGTCGCCCATGCTGCAGGTCTTCTCCGTTGTCATGGAGCTCATGCGCAGCAGCTTCTTGGGCAGGTCCTCCCGACTCGCATTCATCTTGCGTAGCTTGGCCGGCAGGGTGCTCAAGATGTCGTCGGAATTGTCCAGGCACTCGATCGAATGCTTGCTCTGGCCCAGGTTACTGCCGGAGGCCACGCTGCCCGTGATGCAGTTGTACGGCGGGCTGGAGAGAGGGCTGGAGGGCAGCTTGAGGGCCTCCTCCAGCTCCCGCACGCTGTACGGTGGGGTGGGCACTTCGAACGTGGTGTGGAACTGTGAGTAGTCGACTCGGAAGAAGCCTTCTTCCAGCGAGATCACTGGCAGGAAGCGGTGGCCCCACATCACCTCGTCTTCGGTGTAAGATGTCCTGGCCTGGCACGTCATTCCTGTCACATCACAAAGGATGAAAAGATCACCCCGGCACAAACAGCGCCCGCTCCATCCCACTCGTTAGAGACAATAGAGACTGTTGCGGCTTTTAGGCTGGAACGACAGATGAGGGAGCTGTGTGGCTAAAGCAACCACCTGATCGATTGACCTTGTCTCCCTAGTGCCTTTGTTGACACAACCGGATTAGGTATACTCATTTTAGGCTGAGCTGACCTTAGGGAGGCCCAGGCTAATTTCAGATATCATTTGACGATACCCCAGAATTGATCCTGGATAACGAGAATCTTTGTGAACCACAATGCCATAGAATCAGCAGCCATGATCTAAACACTGCTAGAAGGTCTCTCCAGTCGTCACCATCCCTCATGGTCTTGAAATGCCACAATCCAAGTACTCTTGCAATGAGCAAAGATCATCACTCCATCTCTGTGTTGGTCGTCCTCCAGGGTGTATTCCCTCCTTTGTTATTCTCCTCCATCGACCATCAAACCCTTCTAAATGACGTATGCTACCAATTCGGCAAACGTTTCTTCACAGTCAATACGATGACTAAAATTTGCCTTTATTCTTTGATGGTCAGTGTGCTTCAAGCATCTATCTCGTTGTGCTTATCTGCATACTTCCAGCTTATATATTTACTTTTTCGGCGCTTTTTTGTTAGTTCGGCACATTACCAAGTTATCTTTTTTTTAAATTATATTAAAATTTTAAAACGCACTCCAACATGTCCAGCCTTTTCTATTAATTTAACAAATTTTATCCCGATACCTTTATGTCAGTATCGAAGTATGACAAATATGAATAGGTTTACTCTGCATGGCAATAAAACAGGAGGTGTTAAGATGTTCAAACAGCAAATAGAAACCTTCAGCAAGGAATCAAGTTCGCACTAACCACACACGGTACTTGTGGTGAACATGCAAAGAAACATGCTCTGATAACATCTGGCATTGTCTTTGAAACTGATTGGCCTGCAGCAGAGACAGCCTTCTTTAGGGCCTAGTCTCGCCAGTGTCAGAGCAGAGAACAACGTCAAAAGCTGAACAGTAATAAAGACAATGCCACTATCAGAGCATTTGTAGCTGCTCATCCCAAGCTAGAATGCTCTGACACATGTACCACCGCAAGTATGTGTGCTTAACGCAGACTTGACTCCTTGAAAAAGGCATCTATTTGGTGTTAGAATATCTTAACACCTGGTTTATTGGCAGAATGGGTTAATCCTATTATTATTTTCATAAATGTAATCCTGTTCAGCCTTATATAATTGCCTCTGTATACATGCTTTTAAACTCATGTTCTTCAAACAATGCGGTGTTTTGTTGTTGCTTCGAGAACTTGTATACGATTTTGTCAACATCACGCATCATGGTTCTAGCTTGCCCAAGAAGGGCTCTGCTAATAATGACTTACCAATCATCAGCATCCTTTTTGCTCAGTCATGCTCCGTAATGTTTGTGCTGTTTTCTTTTTCATTTTTCTAATTGTATTTCCGAGTATTTTTATTATTTATTTTGTTGGAAATGTCCATCCATTTTCATATCTCTGATTTTGTCCAACATGCTTTGGTGGTGTCAGATTACCTCTTCTGTCAGATGTTTTCACTTTCCCCACACGTTTAGTGTACGGTGTGCATCACAGTGTTATTATGACATGATTGAAAGTGATTAAAGCCCTTTGTAATTTTTATTTGAATAAAAATAAATTCACCTGCCTCATGAACGATATTTTTGTTGCCTATTTTTAGCAGTGTCGAAGATTAGCTTTAATTTTAATCGGCATGTGATCACTTCCTGTGTTAAATTTGTTGATAGACACAACTCAGCTTTGGCACAACTTAATCACGTCAAGTCGATTTGTAATTGCTCCATTTCGCTCCTCCATTTCCATTCTATATATTCCTTTTTTTAAATTGATCATTGCCTTCGTGTTCCTACTGGCTGAATACTCTGATGGACATTCTCCTCTCATTCCTCACCCATATGAAGCATTTACCAATCATTCTCTCATCTCTGCACACGTTTAACTTTGTATGTATTTAAGTGTATTTTGCCCTCATTTAGAAGTGAATTCCTTCTTATGTTTCATCTACTTCTACATCTTCAAGGCTTTTTGTTGTTGGGGCATGCATTTTTATTTCCTTATAGTGGTTCAGGAGCGTTCATGATAGCTGGATTACTCTATCTGAAGTACTCTATCTTCGATTCCCAGACGGACCGAGAATCCCATTACCTGATAATTACCTGTCACCACCAACCAAACGATATGCACATGCACGGTCCAACATAATTTTAATGAACCCTCATTGTCCCACATGCTTTCATGCAAATGCACAACAGATGCTATCCCTACTTAAAAAGACAGTTACATATGCTTTAACATTATTATTGATACTAAGAGTATGGCTATAGATAGCTTGTAATTGAGTTCAAAGTGACATAACATTCGTATGATGACAAATGGGTTTGGCGTTTAGAAAATGTCCACTCGACCAACAACAAATAACATTCAAAGACTGTTCATAAAACATTATATAACCGATGATGCCATCTTCAACAATGTCTTTTTTAAATTTGAGATACAGTACTTTTAATTTTATTTTAACTTATTAATTATAGCGTTTGCTCGGCATGATATTTTATTATCTTTATTGGAAATTTTGGCGAAAATATTCCTCATGCAAATAGCCTTTCAACTAAATCACAATCAATTGTATATTAGGACTGCATAATAACAGTGTTAATATCATACATTGGACAAATCATCTCAAGACAATTTTTTCAAGAGAATCCTGCATTGGGAAGTTTGGCAATTTCAATCGAGTGTTTGGCATGTAAGGGGAAACTGGAATACCCAGAAAAACCAACGATGTATGTGAGAGGATAACGAATGGTAACTTCACAGATGGGCTCACAAGCCCACATGCCGTACCACCGTCGCCTGGCCAACTAGGAGCCTAGCGGTTTTGGGGAGTACCACAAATCTGTGTGTGATACACTAACTGGATTAAAAGCCATTATGTTGGATTGTCCAAAGGCTACAGCAGCTGGAAATATGTGCTCCATACCCGTGGTCTCGACTATGCCCTCCAGGATCACCACCACCTCAAACTGCTCCGTCTGAAGCGCCCGCTGTGACAGCTCATAGAAGGGGCTCCTGTCGTCGATGACGTGGCAGATGGTGAGTGGCGAGACGAGGAAGAGCTGATCGGCCCCTGTGCTGAAGCCCACGTCCAACTCCAGCTGGTCGAGTGGCAGGAACTCGCCTTCCCGCGTCTGTCGAGACTGTGGCCAAAAATGACAAAAAATCCTCCCACGTATATAGACTTTTGTATCGACTGGCAGGTAAAGTGCTGTGAGCGAACACCTATTAAGGGTGGCATGGCACATGTGCGGTGGTGTCAGGAACCCCATAGGGTAGACCCAGGACTGGTTCATCCATCACTTGGAAAAGATGTTTGCTATGGGCAGGAATTGCCAGCTTTGTCACGGAGTGGGCGTACCACTGTCCCACGGCTCCCCGCATGCACATGCGCACTCAGAACCGCACACCTCTTAATAATAAAAGCCCTTTACCTACGTTGAGTTTGATTATTCTCTCAAAAGGGCCTTACAGGGTGATGTTTGGCCAATTCTATTGCACAGTCTATACATTTTAAATGATCTCAAAGAGGTAATGATATTCATTACCTGAGATTCATTACCTCTATTGCTAAGTTATTATGAGGTCGACGAACGTGTGGGTGTTGAGCTTTGATGCTGACAATAGGCTGCCCTTGCACTTTGATTCACGTTTTTACAGCAGATATGTGCTTCGGAAAAATCTCCGCCAAAATTACTGGGCAGTTACCGAGTACTCTCGAATGTCGACACCTTTAGCTTTGATCCAAAGGTGAGATGCTTAATCACATGGCGATAGATTTACAAGTATATATGTTTACATGTATGTTTATTTCCATAGTTCAGTCTCTTTCAAATCAGCATTTTGTATTAATATTTTCAAAGGAGACCTGCCGTTCATACTATTAATGGCAAGTTATTCTGGAATTCGGGGCTCAATTTAAATTATAAAAATTATTGGATTCTATCCAAAATAGAATTTTCGTGACAATGGACAATGTGAAGAGCTTTTAAATAAGTGTGCATGTCGTGCTTCTATAAAAGCATGCACCACTAATATCCTTCATGCCACAAACATAGAAACAACATAGTCTCTTTGGTTCTTTCGGTAAAAAGAAAATACAATTGTATTTCATACCTACGTCACTTTACCGAAAGAACCAAAGAGTATGGATTCCTGCAGTCACGACAGCTTCAAATCGAGATAGAAACACTACCTATATATATACAATTATTTTCGTTCACATGTCACATGGCCTTCTGACAGTTTTTTTGCCGCAATGGTGTAATAAAAAGCAATCACTGGACCAGTTTTCATAATCAGTGGCCATTAACATAGCTAGGTTTGCTGAAAACAATGCTGGCCATGTGTCAAATATTTACAGGCAAATACACCTCTTTCGAAAGAGTCCTTGCCAATAAACATCTGCATTTAAACATCTGGCAGTGCACCAGCATTCGTTTAAGCAAACCTGACTCCACTGCTGAGACATTGACCGTCAAAAGCCGGTGCGGAGTTTGCTTGTGTTAAAACAATGTTTGTGGGAGAGAAAAAAACCTCACAGAAGGGCCATGTGATGGGATGCGCATTTTTTTATGCTTTATAAAAGGGGAACAGAAATGGGAAAAAGCATTGTTTGCCTATGTATTTGGTTACTTATATTCTTCACAATGAGGCTGACGATGATATATTTTTTGCTGTAAATACAACCATGTCATATCGCTCGGTGCATTGATGCTTTCCAGATGTCAGCATTTTCTTTTCAGAGCGGAAATTAGAGGTGAAAAAATGAAGTATTTGTGCCATTTGAGACTTCACAGCGCATTGGCATAGAAGATTCCAATGTTGGTGGTATTAAAATAAATATATCATCCCTTCTATGCTTGTTAAATACAGCACAATAAAAACTGACCATTATCCTTACATACATCTCCGTCAAAATGAAATTCTAAATATTATAATTACCACATTGATTGCAGCTGAGGGTCTAAAGTGGACTATAGACATGCTCCATGCACTCACGATTAGCAGTTTATGGATTCTCCAACGTAAAGTTCCCTTTATGTATTCCAATGTTTTAGTAACATAAAGAGCTCTTAAAACAGCCAACCTAACAGCACGTGAAGAATGTCATTTTTTCAACGACCCATTACATTTTTGGCCGCAAGCTGTTGAGAGGTGCAGCTAGAAACATCGCACCTATCTGATGTCCCAGTTGAATTTTATGAGACAAGGAGCATCGCGGTTAAAGCTGATAGTGTGTGTACATGCCACCACGTTGTCATGTACAATTCGGTGTAAATCTGCATGTGATTTTCCCACATCCCTTCAGGCAAATCCACGGAGGAGCTCAATTTATCGTGAGCATCCTTGTGTTTTTTTTATGATCATCCATTGCATACAATAAACGGAAGGCATATGATGTTACCTTAACCAGAACGAGTATGATCTACTTATTCTAAACAACCGTTTCTGACCTGAAAATGAACATTTCATTTTCAATGGGATGTCGGTTGTATCTCTGGAGATTGTTGCTGTAGGATGTTGTGCGAGATATGACCTAAGATGTGTCACCTACAATTAAAATAAGACATTATTTCAAGCAGCCTTTGATGGCCGAGTCCCGTTGCTCTGTGGCAATCTCAAATTAAAGTCTTGTGATTCTAAATTAATACCGCTTTATTGAATGCCCGTGGGACATTGAGCAAGAGGTACGTTATCACGGCATGTATTACATACTTGGTGTGTATTATATACAGTGAGGGAAAAAAGTATTTGATCCCCTGCTGATTTTGTACGTTTGCCCACTGGTAAAGAAATGATCAGTCTATAATTTTAATGTGAGGTTTATTTGAACAGTGAGAGACAGAATAACAACAACAAAAATCCAGAAAAACGCATGGCAAAAATGTTATAAATGTATTTGCATTTAATGAGAGAAATCGGTATTTGACCCCTCTGCAAAACATGACTTAGTACGTGGTGGCAAAACCCTTGTTGGCAATCACAGAGGTCAGACGTTTCTTGTAGTTGGCCACCAGGTTTGCACACATCTCAGGAGGGATTTTGTCCCACTCCACTTTGCAGATCTTCTCCAAGTCATTAGGGTTTCGAGGCTGACGTTTGGCAACTCGAACCTTCAGCTCCCTCCACAGATTTTCTATGGGATTAAGGTCTGGAGACTGGCGAGGCCACTCCAGAACCTTAATGTGTTTCTTCTTGAGCCACTCCTTTGTTGCCTTGGCCGTGTGTTTTGGGTCATTGTCATGCTGGAATACCCATCCACGACCCATTTTCAATGCCCTGGCTAAGGGAAGAAGGTTCTCACCCAAGATTTGACGGTACATGGCCCCGTCCATCGTCCCTTTGATGCGGTGAAGTTGTCCTGTCCCTTTAGCAGAAAAACACCCCCAAAACATGTTTCCACCTCCATGTTTGACGGTGGGGATGGTGTTCTAGGGGTCATAGGCAGCATTCCTCCTCCTCCAAACACGGCGAGTTGAGTTGATGCCAAAGAGCTCCATTTTGGTCTCATCTGACCACAACACTTTCACCCAGTTGTCCTCTGAATCATTCAGATGTTCATCGGCAAACTTCAGACGGGCATGTATATGTGCTTTCTTGAGCAGAGGGACCTTGCAGGCGCTGCAGGATTTCAGTCCTTCACGGCGTAGTGTTACCAAATGTTTTCTTGGTGACTGTGGTCCCAGCTGCCTTGAGATCATTGACAAGACCCTCCCGTGTAGTTCTGGGCTGATTCCCCACCGTTCTCATGTTCATTGCAACTCCACGAGGTGAGATCTTGCGTGGAGCCCCAGGCCGAGGGAGATTGACAGTTCTTTTGTGTTTCTTCATTTGTGAATAATCACACCAACTGTTGTCACCTTCTCACCAAGCTGCTTGGCAATGGTCTTGCAGCCCATTCCAGCCTTGTGTACGTCTACAATCTTGTCCCTGACATCCTTGGAGAGCTCTTTGGTCTTGGCCATGGTAGATAGTTTTGAATCTGATTGCTTCAGTGGACAGGTGTCTTTTATACAGGTAACAAGCTGAGATTAGGAGCACTCCCTTTAAGAGTGTGCTCCTAATCTCAGCTCGTTACCTGTATAAAAGACACCTGGGAGCCACAAATCTTTCTGATTGAGAGGGGGTCAAATACTTATTTCCCTCATTAAAATGCAAATCAATTTATAACATATTTGACATGCGTTTTTCTTGATTTTTTTGTTGTTATTCTGTCTCTCACTGTTCAAATAAACATACCATTAAAAGTATAAACTGATCATTTCTTTGTCAGTGGGCAAACGTACAAAATCACCGGGGGATCAAATACTTTTTTCCCTCACTGTACTTGGTGTGTACGGGCAGTCCTCGGGTTACGAACCTAGTTCGTTCCTGAGACCCGTTCGTAAGTCGAACGGTTCGTAAGTCGGAATACATTAATGCACTTTATTTAAATGTCCATACGGTCAGTGTTATGAAATGTGTTACGGTAAAAAAAGGAAAGCATTGTTGAACTCAAAATTAAGAAGAATTATTGGACATTTCTATGTAACGCTATAAAAAATAGTTGTCTAGTAAATTAAACATGAAATAAAGAAACATAAATTGATAAAAAAGCTTTTATTTTGACTTGAGTCCTAATGCTAGCTTGTGGTCGGAAGGGGGGCAATTCGTCACCACAATTGCACACACACAGGGCACGCGTGCACACACACGAGACAAAGACCCCCCGTAAAGCCTTAGTAGACTGTTGGGGCAAGTGCTGTTAGCGAGCACCTATGAAGACCGGAACGGCACAAGAGGGGGTGGGTGGCCAGCACCACGTCCGGCCGCCTTTGTCTCCCCAGTGGCGATGTTTACACACCGCTCCAGGTACTAATTTGAGGCCGAGTCGACCTTGGGGAGGCCCACGTCCCATTCAGATAATTGTCATTGATGTTGATCGTAAGCGGGTATTGAACTTTGGTCACCGGGTTCGTAGCGCAGTGCGTTAACCGTTACACAACCAAAAAAAGGCAAAGTTCCCCAGTATAGCCTGAACAGACTGTTGGGGCAAGTGCTGTTAGCGAGCACCTATGAAGGCCAGCACGGCACACGAGGGGGTGGGTGGCCAGCACCACGCCCGGCCGCCTTTGTCTCCCTAGTGGCGATGTTTTCACACCGCACCAGGTACTCATTTGAGGCAGAGTCGACCTAGGGGAGGCCCAGGACCGGTTCAGGTAATCGTTACCGGTGTTGGCCGTGAGCGCGAATCTAACCCAGGTTGCCAGGTTCGTAGCGCAACGCGCAAACCACTACACTACCAATACCGCTACACTACACACACAGCGCGAGGCAGACTTATTTACACCTCGCGGAAGATCGCTCCTCTGAACAAATTAGTTACCTGGTTCAGTTTTCAATTGCGAGTTCGCGTTTTAAGTCAACGTTGTTTTTTAAAAATTTCACGGAAGCTGGTTTGTAAGTAAGGGTGTTCATAAGTCGAGAGTTCGTAAGCCGAGGCCGGCTTACTCATTGGTTTTTCGGGTAAAGTCACGTATGTAGAAATACAATAAATTATGTTTTAATATAATTTTATTGTATTTCTACATACGTGACTTTACCGAAAAAAACAATGAGTCATTGTATGCAGTCACGAAAGCTTTAATACGAGGCCGGCTTGTCTATTTAATTATTTTACCAACAATCTCTACAATATGGGAAGATGGAACCGAGTTTATAAATTCCCATGTGTGTCACCTGTGGGGCACCTGCTTCCTACGGTATTGTAATTAGCTCCGGACCAAACTGCCGCAGTGAATTACTGGGCATGTGAATAGACTATTTCTGGAGCGAATGGTAACAAACCCATGCCTGTTCTCATGATGTTGAGGCCATAACGGTTCAGTTACGCAGAGAGCGAGAGAGACAAAAAAAAACACGTATGTCAGAGTAAATGCTACGGATAGATATTCAAACACCTCCCCCGTGTGGACAACGGCTCATGCGTGTGTGCGTCGCGGCACGTTCTGGAAATAATCCCTTGCGCTTCGGTGCGCGACTGCGGACCAAGCAGCACTACAGAGAGCTGCTCAAATTGCGTGCAGGTCACCGAGATCACTTGACCTGCGTGCTGCATGCTGCAGCGCGCGTTTACATGGCACAGCTACGTTTGCAATCCAAAACTTCTCTAAGTACTCGCAGGGGTTTTGATAAACTCGCAGCCACCGCAGCATGAAATGTTCTTTGTGGTGGTGTACAATACACGTGCGTAGTCGTCCACAACATTTCGATATATGCTCTAATGCATATTTTCTTAAACGTAGTCATTACAAAATTCGAGCATCAATAGATCACTGGTATATTGACAATTCTTTTTTTCTTCAAATCTGCGAAATCATTATTTGCAAACCTCCATCCTCTAATCGTGCGACACCAGCGTGCGCGTCTCCACGCGCTCGCGCTGCGCGAGTGTTGATAATCAGGAGCGGGTTTTTTTTTTAAACTCTTTCAACGCGCAAACAACACAATTACGTAATGCGCAACCGTGCAATTTCACGTCTCATTGTAATGCGTGAACCTCGACATTCGGTTGCGGCGATGACCAAGTTTACCCAGAGAGAGTGGCCGTGGTCCCAGTACAAGTGAGCAGTATTGTTCCCTCTGGGATTTTCCCATCAGGAAAACGGTGCAGCTTCGCGGAAGAACACGATCTGGCGACAGCTCAGCAGCAGCACCCACTACGGTGCACCACACTTTGCGCACCGATTTCCTGTTGTGCTCTAATCAATTGATGAACCACCTGCTCATACCACCTGCAATCAAAAAAAACACTCGGGCTGGAGCTCGCTACCACCCACCTGAGCTCGAGGCACCGCACGTGCCTGAAAGCACTCACGAGTAATTGGGGCGGTGATGACCGCGGGGGGTCGCGAGTTACCTTGATGAGCTTGCAGCGGATCTGCGCCGACACCATGTGGCTGTTGCGCAGGTTCCCGATGCGGAACATGAGGCAGAGCTGGCCGTCCCGCCGGGAGATGACTGCGCTCTGGCTGAACATGAGTGTCTCTGCGCGCTTCTTGGGCTGCGACATCTTGATGAACATGCAGCCGATGAGGAAGGCGTCCACGATGGAACCCAGGATGGACTGGAAGAGAAATAGGATGATGCTCTCGGGGCACTTGTCCGTGATGTAGCGGTATCCGTACCCGATCGTGGCCTCGGTCTCGATGAAGAAGAGGAAGGCCGACGGGAAGCTGTGCACGTTGGTGACACACGGCGTGTAGTTGCCATCGTGTGTCTTGTCCAGGTCTCCACGTGAGTAGGCGATGAACCACCACATGGAGGCCATGAAGAGCCAGGCCACGGTGTAGGTGAGCACGAAGATGAACATATTCCAGCGCCACTTGAGGTCCACCAGCGTGGTGAAGAGGTCGGACAGGTAGCGGCTCGTGTCGCTACCAATGCTGCCGTTCTGCACGTTGCAGTGGCCGTTCTTCTCCACGAAGCGCTGTCGCTTCCTCTTAGAATCCCTCTCGGAGTCGCCAGTGGCAGCGCCGACGCCGCTGGTGCTCACCACCTGGTATTCTTCACCAAATTTTCGACGGAGAGCCGACATTCCTCGCGCGAACGTTGCGTCTCAGTCGAATTAAATCGAGCTGCGTTGCGCGCTGAAACAGGTTCGCTTCTTCTTTGCATGTGAAAAAGCAAGGGCAGCCACGGACCTCGTCTCATTAATTGGAGTTGCGCATTACGCGACGTTCCATATGAGCGCTATCCCCCGTCCCTGGCGTTCTAGTCGCGGCATGGCGATACCTTAACGACGCGAAAGTGAAAAGCATCGCACGTCGCAATCCCGCTCGTCTCCGGTTACGCAGCAGAGACGATCGCGATTGAGCAGCCGCGCGCTCCGTCGTCCGCGAAACGTCGCGCGGTGCCTCGGCCACGCAGCAGCTCGGCACTGTGAGTAGAAAAAAATAGTGGTCGCGCACGACTTGACGGCTCGGTCCCTCAAACAATACGGGCGCTGATGCGGGCTCCAGCAGAGCCCCCTCCTCTCTCACTCCCTCCCTCCCTCCTCGCCTCGGAGTCCTTAACAAGCTACGGCAAGTGAGCGCTCCCTCCTCCTCCTCCCCATTGCCCCGCTCCTCCTCCGAAGCACCTACACACCCCCCCCCCCCCCCCCCCCCATATTCTGTTCATAAATTCCGGGTTGCTACGGGTATACAACTGGACTTTTTGCGTCGTGGGTTCTGTGGGGGGTTCTTCTTTTGAAAAAATCATCCTGTTTTGTGTATAATTTTTTTACCCGTAATTTTCACGGTATTATTCCCAAAAAAATCTCGAAAAGGAAAAAGGGTGTTGCGTACAAAAAAAGGGGGATTTGCGATGGAAACAGCCGGAACCAATGATTGCTGTGTGCAGCGTTTTGCGGTGGAATCGAGCTGTGCGTGGCGTGCGCGCCTCCTGTTCGGTGTGCACTGCACGGCGAGGGATCGAACCGTGACACGAACCTTCGTGTTCCCCATCGCGAGAAACTTCTGCGGGACCCACGTCAACCGGCTGGCACGCGACATCGTTCGTGACCGCGAATGCAGAGATATTTTTGACATTTTTTTTGCTTCGCATTACAGCGATTACAGGGTATTTCGTGTTTGGTATTTTGCCTGAATGAACAAATGCACACTGTTTTGATGAGAGTTAAAAATAATGAATGTTTTAGTATGCGGCGTTGTTGTGGTGCAAAAATCTATACACCCACATCAAAATGCAAGCGTCAATATTTGTTCCTGATACATTGATAACGCGATATTCCAGCAAAAGGTTATGCACACGTGTTTGTATACATGGCGTGCGTGAACAAGCTTTGTACAGATGTTCTATTTGGCAAGATTAATAGTTAGCGTGTATAGGTGCATTATAGAGTATCATTAGTGAGTAATTATCATCGTCATCATCATTATCGCCGTCAGTCGTGCATTCTATTGACGGTAGCATAAAGAATTAATCGTGCTGGCGCCTCTGCTTTTCAAGTCGTATGCAACTGAAGTCAATATGATCCAACGCTCTCTGATGTCGCTCAATGTGCACGTTGATGGCCCCTGGAGTATTCTCTCTGTCATTCTGTCACCATTTGTTTTCATCAGCTGTCACTCCAGCCTCTCGCCCACATAAGTGCCATATTCTACCTGGGGACAGCGGCTCTTATAATTGGATCAGGATCATTTGACGGTCTTGGCTTGGCTGTATGTCCATGTTCCTTGATCTGCTGCGCCTCCCGTTCATTTCGAGTCTCAGAAATAAGCAAGCAAGTGCCAGAAACGATAGGCAGGTGTTCGGCCATGCGCCGACATGGCACGTGAATGATAAGGGTTGGATACATGATTCATGCAATTTGGAAATGTCATTTCGCACGGTCACGGCAACGTTGTGAGCACCAAAACTGAAAAGGGAACGGAATGTGCGTTAAGGTCAGAGTTTGCTGATTACGATCAGTGGGAGGGCCATTCCTAGTGGCTGGCTGGCTCGTTAGTTATATAGGGTTATGGTCAGGGGGAGGGCCAGAACCAGTGTTTGGTTGGCGTTGTATAGGGTTATTGTCAGTGCGAGGATTCATACTGATGGCTGGTTGGCGAGTTAGTTGAATAGGGTTATGGATAGGGGGAGGGTTAGTACGAGTGGCTGGTTGACTGGTTAGCTGGTTGTATAGGGCAAGGGTCGATGGGAGGGTTAATGCCTGAGGCAAGTTGGCTATTTTGGACACGGTTAGGGTCAGTGGGTGGGCTGGCTAGTGCTAATGGCTAGTTATCTTGTTCTTTTTTTTTCCCCAGATGCCGGTGTGTGTGCTGTGCGCAGGCGGGAACTGTGGTAAGAGATGAGCCATGCTGTTCACGCCCGGATTGCACGAACGACAATTGACCGTGGGTTTCGTGCCCAACGCGTGTATGTTTTGCATTACTGTGTCTGCACGCATGCGTTAATTGTATTTTCCCCTCGTATAGTGCCGTAGCAAGGGTGCGTAATTCTGTGGCGTAATTCCTAGCACGTTGGACTTGTAATCCAGGTCACCAGTGCGATTCCCCGGAGCGGCAGTTGGAACAAAAATGGGCACGTTTCTTAAATGCCCACGCCTCTGTCCACGGAGCAGGACAAATGTATGCGCCACAGTTAATCGATGATCAGGTGGCGTGTGGTGGGGTAGGGTGTGGGTACTGCCAACTCTTCCAAGACATATGGCCTAGAGGAGGCTCTGAAGAGCATCCTCTTGTCATTATCGTTGTAGCCTTTTCCGCCAGCAGCGATCTGCGCAATACATTGCAGGGCTGTGCCATTACCTTTACAACGGTCTAATTGGCGTCATTCAAGCCCCGCCAGCGGAGTGCTCACGAGGGGGTTGATGATGCCACTGTTTATCGCGGCATCATGAAGCTCCGTCATTCTATTGTGTCATGGGGAAACAGAACCGCGGTCACCTTTGCTTGCGTTCCAACTAAATGGTCATCCTCGCATCGGCTTTTGGCGAACCATCGAACAAAGACGGTCAGTGCATCGCGCGCTTTCAGGCGCGCTTTCAGGTGCGCTTCTGCGGCCGTCTGGAACGCTCTTCCTTCCGATATTTTGAAGCGACTCGAGCTATGCGCATTTAAATCTGGATTGAAAACTCATTTCTTTAGAACTGCCTTTTTGTGCTGTTTGTTGTCCTTTGCTACGTACGATGCGAAAGAAGTTCAACACACACACAAACGTACGTACACAAATACCGCGTGCAATTAAGGAACCCGGGCGATGAAACCTCTTATTCCAATCACCACAAGCTTTACCCGCAGCAAATTGCCAACAAATGTGTTGCAATACAACTGCATGTTTAACGTAATGGCGGCACGCTGACGTCGTCTTAACGCGTGTTCTCCACCACATTCGTAATTATTCACTGCCCTAAAGGGATTTTTTTACGTTTCGGGAAATGATCCTTTTTATAGCAGATAGATAGAGAAGGCTGCTTTCGAAATCTCTCTTTTGTGAAGAAGGGTCTCAATGCCTGAGATCGTTGCCATTTTCCCCTTTTAGGGAGCAGCGTTATCGACGAATGTGTTGAGTTTTTGTGATTTGTGCTTGTGCACCACTGCAAACACAGTATCACACGAAAAAAAATCACCACTTTTACTGTGATAATGGACTGAAGCGTGTCACCAGCCGGGTAAGGTGTGGGCAGTGGAGTCTGTAAGGCACTACCATCATTTAATTTCATCGCTTTGCTGGTCCACACGCGAGACCGTAGTGAAGGCTCACTTTCATCGATCGCGCTGGAGAGGCGGGCGGACGTCAGCGTCAATTGAGGGACCTCATCCCTCCACACAGCCGCCTGGCCACGCCACTGATGACTGTTAATTGGCGAGGCTGAGATAGATGGAGAGCTTCTTCTTCGCTGTCTGGAGTCACGCGAGTTTTTCTATTAAACGCATGGCCTACATTGAAGTGGGTTGACTTTTGATTAATGAAGAGAGACTTAATTCCAAGCACTTGGTTATATTGATACGCTATTTGCGATTGTAGATGTTCTCACAAAATGACCCGTAGGTATTTGGTAAGAACATTTTGTACCCTTTCAAGTGGCGTTTCCCTTGCATACCCAGTTGTTGCAGACCTGGTCAGTCAGACACATACGGTAAATGATGGTACGATAAGTTAACATGAAATAAAAACAATGCATTTGTGTGGGTTCCTGAACGCAATAGCAATGCAACTTTGTAATCAAAATTTATTTGTGTTGTTTCACGTCAACGATCGTTATTACGACCACGCGCTGAAGTCAGATGGGCAGAGCTAATGCATTAACGATTTAAACCTTCGCTGGAAAAGGCGTGAACATTTCCCCTATTGAACTCAAACGTTGGCTTATAATGATACGAGGTTATGCACACGAGTATTGACGAACTGTACGTGTCAGGACATGTTTTAATTCTCGTACCCGAGGGACCAAATATTGTCAAGTTGTATTCCTGACCACGGCTAACATCAGTGGCGAGAAGATCATATAAACGGGTCCTGACCAACCCCTCACCTCCCTGACACGATTCACCAACCTGCATTCACCAGTATGGTCAAGTTTGCTAACGTTAAATGCCCTATGTTATGGCAAGACACGACCTTCATCGAACAGTCGATTGAGTTTGTTTTATTAGCATACCGATAATATACCATTATATCGTACATATATACATACAAAAAAGCGTTACGATAAAAAATAGGCGTAACGGTTTCACGGCACATTTTAGAAAAAAACATTTTCAGACTACACATTTGCATGCGCCACATAATCCCACACATAATCGTCCATACATCTTTTTTTTCTCTCCAGGTCTCCCTGACAAAAGGTTTCCTCACAAAGAAGTCTCGCCTGCCCTAACCCCGAAAAGCCACGTTTCAACTGAGTCCTGGGTTCCTTTTAGGTCACGGTACTGAACCTTTTCTTCACTGAGGGCCCAATAAGACACAATGAACAAACGCTTCAGCAGTCGCGTCTGTCACACTGCATGGGCTCCTTGCAGTGTAATATAAGTAACTTGACTGCATTTAAAGTCTAAACAGCATTAGCCAGGTCCATAATATTCTCTAGTACCTGATCAAGTGCGGCTAAGATGCTAAGAGTGACGGATAAATAGTGTCGTTTCCGCACCGTTTGAAAGTGCTAGGCCGCAATGTGGCCACAGGCAGTTTGATATTGAAGTCGCGGGCTGCCTCTGGACACTGCTTCCCCACTCATGATTTAGAGTGCAACGATTACACCCCCGCCACATCCGTCGAGATGCCATGAATCGTCGCGAGTTAAGTTCGATTATTTTTGAAAACAAGGTAACTTTGGAGAGCGGCTTCCAGCGGCTTTAGAGGGTCATATTAAGATTTATGAACCGATAAAGTAGTGTAAATCCATGAAGCGTAACATATGGTGGGCTTGGAGAATTAACATTAATTGATAAGCCAATGTGGATCGTTACATTCACTGCCACTAACAGCGCGGAGGACAGTGGCGTTAAAACATCGGGGTGTGCAGGCGGTGCAACTGCACCGGGGCCCAAGCGCAGGGTTAC